GTGAAAAAGTAACACCAAATTTGTGTTTAAAAAAAACAAACTTATATAGTTGCAAACATGGGTTTAATAAGAAGGGTACTTTTTTTTCTACTTTGCATGTGTTTTTTTCACGGTACGAAAATGTTAAGAATGGGAAACATATTTATAAATCAGCCTTTTGGTCCCAGGCGTCCCAGTCAGAGTGTTTTTTAATTTAGTTTTTATTTATTTTTTGTCTAAAGCTCACATTCTTAACCGTCTCTTTTCAACACGATCACTTTTTAAGAGGTTTTTATTTTGAAAATGTGTGACCTCAAGCTGTTCCTGGTTGCTTTTTTTGGCTGCTTCAGGAGTCCACTTAAAATTTTTTCTTCATGATCATATCTGAAAGCATCACAAACTGGGATTGAATATTGGTTTTAGCTTACATCCTGTTAGGGTCACACACATCTTAAGCACTGGATAATAATTCTGTGTTGATTTGTTTTTATTGATTTTTTTTATTTTCTTGTCATTTTCTGTTCTAGTATTGACTAATGTGAAGTTTTTTGATTTAAAACATAACAAATTAGTTGGTAAAACATCACATTTTTGGAGCTTCGCTTATGTTACTCTCCAAGAAATGGCCATTTTTAAAAGCATTTTCATTTATTTAAGGAATTTTTTTTTTTTTTTTTTTTTTTTTTTTTTTTTTTTTTTTTTTTTTTTGCAGCTTCAGTGGCACCTGGGTAGGTCACATCACCTCTGATGTCTTCTGGAAAGTAACCTCATGCTCTTGTCAATTGTGACCTGCCAAGGCAGAGCACACATTTCATGGTCACAAACATTTTTTTGTGATAAGTATTGTATTTAAAAAAAAAAGAAAGAAAAAAATCAATTGTGCGTTTTAACATTTCATTGTATTTATTAGCCAGCTGTGGCTCTAAAAAGTGTCAGTACAACTTGGTGAGAGAGACAATCCAATATATATATATATAAATAAAAAAGTACAGACTTGAGATTTTACTCACCAATCTGTCCCTTCATCATTGTTCAAGAGTCTTTTTTTATTGCTAAAGATGAAAGGGTGATCATGTTTTTGCCTCTGATTGTGTATGTTTGTGCATGTGTTTGCTGTGTTAGCAACATATTCCATCAACTAATAGACAGATCATAATGAAACTTACCGTATATCTACAAATGAAAAAAGTTTAATAAATAATTCAAGATGGCCACCACAGATAAACTGACCTTCGCCAGAAATATTAATATACAGTATTTTTAAGAAATAATAGATTAAAACTCAGCTAATTTTACAGAAGTTAAAATTCTAAATGGTAACAGCTAAGAGTCACACATATTTTAGGCCTGATGTATTAAGATCCCAAATAAATAGCGCTAAATTGCATGTGCAAACTAAAAAAAAAGCATGTGTTATAAGTGGGAATGTTGCATGTGATTTATTAAAATTGCTGCGCTAACAATAACAGGTGCAAAAATGGTGCAGATCTTCACTGAAATGAGTATTTTACATGTGCTACTGGCTAGCACCCTGGAGAGTTTGGGAGAGCAGAGTGGCTGTAAAATAAAAATAGTTTGAAATCATGGAGTTGGAGGTCTTGGTAGAGGACACAAAACAGTTCAGTGTTGCAAGATTTGCCATAGGACTACTTGTGACTGGCTTCAAACCACCCCTTAGGTCTTCCAGCTGGTCAAAAATAGTGTTACTGGACAATATGTTTCTAATATTTTTATTTCTGATATGTTATCAAATGCACAGAACATTCTCTCTTCGTCATCATTATTGCACCTATGCCACCTCTTTGCTATACTGTGGCCAGTTTGTGCCTACCTTACAAATGTGCTAAAGATAAACACAACAACAGCAGCCACAATGACTTCCAGGTTTTATAAATAACATTAATGATTAGATTAACGTATCATCTTTTATTGAGTGTTCTGATAATCATCATCAGGGAAAGCTGGTATAAGTGGGATAAGGGTGGTGTTTACATTAAAAATGTTAAAATGCTTAACAACACATTAAAATCAACAAACTGGGACCAAAGAATCTATAGAAAATCCAAGTCTTTCCAAAGGACTAACTTTTCATAACCTTGTTTACTGATTGTTCTTCATGATACGGAATGATTGACAGACGTCACACCCCTTCAGTTTGATGCACATTGGGGCTAATTTTGTTCAGCTCAGGGTCAGGTCCGGTCAGGTGCGAAACAAAGAGGAGGTCCGAGAAGCATGTGCAGGAAATGCGAGATTGTGCAATAAATCCAGCGATAAATGTGGAAGTTAGGGCAAAAATTACTAGGCTGAAGCTGCATTGCTGTTGTCTTTTTGAAACTTCTGATTTCAAAATAAAACCCCTGTGAATCATGAGTGTATGCATCTTCTGCGCACTGCGTGTTGCCATCTGCTTCCTAAACAACAATACATTCTGACAGCATTTGTGTAGAAATACATCCATATATTTATTAAAATAGGTGGGATTTTGACAAAATCAGTCTGTCTTTGGCAAATTATTTTGAAAATACGGATGTTGTGCTTGTTATTTTTCCTGTTGGTGCAACATGATCTTGACTCCGGAGCAGCTCCGGCGTCCAACAAAAACAGGATCAAATCTAATTTTGGCGGATCGCTGTCTGCTCACCGCCGCCCTGTGCCACCGTGCGGAGCCAGTGTAAATACTCTCATTGATTATAATGGTTGCGTATTTGCTGCAGAGGTCAGACCGCAATGAAGTGGAGCGGAACCGCATCTAGTGTACATTAGGGTGTAGCCCACCCTACAAATATCACCAGCAGCCGCCAATGACCATCATATAAACTCCATATTCAAGGAGGTAAACTCGTAAAATGGATCGTGTTAGCTATTTTGCTCATTTGACAAATGCAATCTTTGATGCACACAGTTTTGCACATACTATTAAGTTTGCACTTTCTTTTTGCACATGCAAACCTTTAGTAGACCATGCCCACTGAGAGCTACACATTTTGCAAGATCTTGCTCTTTACAGCAGATTTTAAAAACAAATATGGTAAGTATTTAGTGCAACACTAATGCATCAGGGTTATATGCTTCGTGTGTGAAAATTGAGTATACAGGTGGTGCTGCTTTACAGATGTTTTTTAGGGGTCCAAGCCCGAGGAAGCAGGGTAACGCAGCTGCAAAGCAGCAGCGTTTCCATGTCTCCATCGGAGCATGGAACCCTATTGTATCTGTTCCGTTTTTTATTATTAGGGGTCCAAGCCCGAGGAAGCAGGGTAACGCAGCTGCAAAGCAGCAGCGTTTCCATGTCTCCATCGGAGCATGGAACCCTATTGTATCTGTTCCGTTTTTTATTATTAGGGGTCCAAGCCCGAGGAAGCAGGGAATCGCAGCTGCAAAGCAGCAGCGTTTCCATGTCTCCATCGGAGCATGGAACCCTATTGTATCTGTTCCGTTTTTTATTATTAGGGGTCCAAGCCCGAGGAAGCAGGGTAACGCAGCTGCAAAGCAGCAGCGTTTCCATGTCTCCATCGGAGCATGGAACCCTATTGTATCTGTTCCGTTTTTTATTATTAGGGGTCCAAGCCCGAGGAAGCAGGGTAACGCAGCTGCAAAGCAGCAGCGTTTCCATGTTTCCATCGGAGCATGGAACCCTATTGTATCTGTTCCGTTTTTTATTATTAGGGGTCCAAGCCCGAGGAAGCAGGGTAACGCAGCTGCAAAGCAGCAGCGTTTCCATGTCTCCATCGGAGCATGGAACCCTATTGTATCTGTTCCGTTTTTTATTATTAGGG